ACCAACTCATGTGAACTTGAATCAGCAGGTGGTCATGAAGTTCTGTATCTATCGGGAGTAATAGTAAAGCGACTAACTGGATTAGTAACGGGGTCTTGGTACTTTTCGGACATCACCAGCAGAGCGTGATCTTCACAGTAATCTATTCCGATAAAACTCTTCCTGAGTAGAAGAAGAATAACCATTAAATTCTGCGCCAAAGTCAAAGGGCAGTCCTACATTCTGTAGCAGTATACACTGAAAATCTAGGAAAAGTAGCTAGTGGAAGTCGAGAGACGATTTAGATCCTAGGAAGAGGGCAGCGGTACGTTGGGGATTTCCAGCACGAGGGCCATATTTAGTGAGTGGAAGGAGTGGGTCGTAATTAACTTCGTGAAAATGTTTCCTCTTGCTGACTTTTCTCAGTTTTTTCCCGTTCATGTGCGCAGCTTACCTCGTCCTCCACCTCTCGACTGCAGTTCATTGGGAGAATGATGGAGAATTCTCGGAAAATAAAATCTGAGAAGTGGCAGGATGTTGGAGAATTTGGGAGTGTGGAGGTAGGGACTGGGGAGGACAATGGTACCAGAGGAGGAATTATCAAGGGTGTGGGGTCGTTTGCAAGAATTCTATTCAATGGCAAGGCGTGTCCTAACTGAGAGGTTTTCTGGGTGTAATCCCTCAGAAAGCAATGAAATTGTTGGTCTTCACCTGACCCAATTGGGATGCCCACGCTGCCAAGCGCAGCCTTATTCTTATGGCTATCTAGGCTTTACAATGACCTCTGGAAGCCAGCTGATGCAGAACTCAGCGCTTGTATTCTCCGAAACGGGTCTGGAACCAATAAACCGACCAGAGAAGGGTGGGAGACATGGTACAGCATGCTTGTGTGAAACACATAGTCGTACCTTTTCGCTGGGGAATGAGTGGGGTGTATTTGGACGTTGTTGGGAGAGGGGGATTGGTGGTCGTATGGCTTTGAGAGAAATTGACCGCGTTGGGAAAAAAATTCTCGGTTGTTAACGATTTTTCCAGTTTCATGACTATTTACTCCCCTACCCCCTTGCTCGTCAGCAAAATGCTTGTGGAAAAAAAGGGAAATTTTCGAGAAATTCCAGAAAAAATGATAGAAAGCTATTGAAAATCTAAAAAAATTTCCCGTTCCACATTGACTACATTCCCCCCCCCCCCTCCTGTTCGACGAAAATTTTTGGGTGGAAATACTGGAAAATGTGGGTAATTAGTAGGGAAGTGTTGGGGAAGGGGGGTCGTACTGACACTGCCATTTCACACTCACGATGTTGCACCCTGAGGGGAGATTTGAATGGCATGAGCCGACCGGAACGTGCCCGTGGTGACCGGGACACATCCCTTCAGTACTAGTTGAAATTTGTTTTGGCAAGTGGTAGTGATTACCGAGAGCAATTCAC